GGTATTTTAATCTCCTTGAGACTTGAACGTTCTACATATATGCTACTGCTTTGAGCTTGAGTGACCACAAAATAGTATCAAGATGGCATTTTTTGAAGTGAACAGGATGCTTATTTATGAAGAGAAAATAATCACAAAATGAGTTAAGTTCTAAATTACATCCTTCATAAATCCAAAATAAACTATGGTTACTCAGTTTCTCTAACCTAATCTTTTTTCCTGCTCAAAAAAAATGGGGAAAAATGCATTAACCTGTTTACTGTTGAAAAGCTTAATGTAATACATTTTGCAATTAAGTGAGGTTTGAACTTGACAGTATGTGTCCAACCACAAGTAAAAATAGAGAATAAAGCTTGGGAGTCTAGGATATTTGCCTCAGAGCCGAGGAATAGGATTTGGGGTGAGGATTAGTAATGGCTTTGGATCCATAAAATGTCCAAGTTAATGAAGTGAGGTTGTACAAGTGCTCTGTATTCCTTACAAAACTTGGAGTGGAGTAGCACCAAGAGGTACAGCCAGTAAAGGCATCTGTGATGAGTGGTCACTTGACTCTGTGTTACATTGCTTCCACAAGGCAACAGGAATGGAATTCTTACTGCACTTGAGGAATTATCTAGCTACTGCTTCAGGGCAACAAACTCCATAATCATCTCAGGGGTTACTGCCCTGGTCTCATGCCGACATCTCATTCATTGTCACTCAATTTGTAGCCTCAGCTTTGATGAGCAGCAAACAACAGGAGAAAAGCTGGCATTATCTTTCTAAATTAATTTTGGGTCAAAGATGAATTTGTGGTTTAGTATGTCATAAGCACATCGCATTCAATTAAGTACTTTCTGAATTGCAGTCTTACCTGCACTGTGAATATTTCATAAATTAGTTCACACATTTGTCTTGAATTTAATTGAATTACTAATGAAACAGTGATGAGCAGAAGGAAACAGGTGGTCAACAGCTATTTATGTAAAGCCTGCGTCCAGTGGGGTTCTGAACAGATGTGTTGGGGTCCTTGCCGTTTGTGGTACATATAAATGATTTATATTTGCATGTAGGAGTGTTGACCAATAAGTTCACAGATGATAATGAAAACTGGAGTACAGATGAGCCAATCAGTGGTAAATGGAATTTAATTCAGATAAATGTGAGGTGATGACTTTTGAAGGATAAATATGGCAACAGCATATATGAAGAGCAGCCAACCCTGGGAATCACTGAGGATCAGAAAGACCTTGGGCTGCATGTCCACTAGTCCCCTAAGCTAACTGGACAGGTCCATAAAGTGGTAAAGGCAGCATATAGGATATTTGCCTTTATTAATCAAAGCCAAGAGTTTAAGAGTAGGGAAGTGATGCTGGAACTGTATTAAGATTTGTTAGGCCACAATTAGAGTATTGTATGCAATTCTAGGATCCATATTATAGGAGAGATATGATAGCACTGGAGAACGTGCAAAAGGACCTTTATAAGGATGTCACCTGGGTTGGCGTTTTAGTTATGAAGAGACTGGGATTGTTTTGTTTGGAGCAGAGGAGACTGAAGGGAAATTATTGAGATATATAAAATTATGAGAGACATAGACAGGATAGATGGGAAGAAAATGTTACACAAGGCTAAAGTTTCAGAGGGTGGTAGGAATCTACAATTCTGCCTGTAAAGTGGAAGAGATAAAAATGCTCATATTTTAATATTCAGATGTGCTCTTCCAATGCCAAGGCTTACAAGGCTATGGGCAGAGTGCTGGAAAATGGAATTGGAAGTGGTCGTTGTTGAGCAGCACAGACACAATGGGCCAAAGAGCCATTTTCCATACTGTAGACCTGTATGAGGAAAAGAACATTTTAAAAAAAAAACTGCACTGTAGTGTCAGCCTAGCAAAACACCATATACCTCTGGAGGGGAATTTTAACACTCAACCTTCTAACTTCAAAATATGTAACTGGTGCTGTCGTTGAGAAATGCTCGCACTTACCCAAGAAAACACTGCAATGTCAAAATGATATTCTGAGTGAGTTTTTTTTCCCTCAAAGTGTAAGGCAGAATTCTGCAGAAATCAGGTAGAAAACCATCTACACAACAGAACCCTCTATCTCATACCTACCTCATAAGAGGGGCCACTGTCAACACTGGGGATCATGTTTGGGCCTGCTTCAGAATTCGAGGCCATTTCACCCACAGCAGTGGTGTGGAGATCAGTAGAGGAAAGGGCACTTCTACTACCCCAGTAAAATCAAAATATCTAATCAAAACTAGAACAATGGTTTACACAACAAGAAAACTTCTGATGGAATACCAATTTCAACCAGCTACTCGTCCACAATGAGGACCAATTGGGCAGAAAATATTAACCAGTACAGATCAGATGCATGTATCCATACATGCAATTTGGCATATTCTGCCCAAAAAAGTGGCAACATATAGACTAATTTCTATTTAATTGTGTCCAAACCAATGAGTGTAGTCCACACCAAGTTTCAGATTAAGCCCATGGTAGGAGTTTGACTTGCTTGCCCCAAGAGCAAGCACAGAGCAGCAGCTGAAGTATCTTTTCCATCTGTAAAAGAAGTACTTGCTCTTTATCTTATATCTTCTAGATGCATTAATTCTGAGCTATATATGACCTGAAACACTTGTGAATTTGAAGGAATGGTGGAACTTATCGTTGTGAAAGATGGACCTGCAATTAAAAAAGCTGAATTTGTTCAATGAGATGAAGCACTAAAAATCTTATTAGCTGGAGGGGTTGCGTAAATTACAAGCTTCAAAAACAGCCTATTGAAAAACAAAATCTCTTACACTGCATCTATGTTCACAGTTTGGGGCCTTAATCTGACATTTTTAAAAAAAGGAAATATCTCAGTCAAATGGGATCAGCTGTTAAACTTAAGGGATTTAGAAAATTGTGGGGGCTGGGATATGAATGGCTGTTTCCCAATTGTAGATTTGCAGAAGTACCTTCTTACAAGCTCTACGGCATTTCGCTGGGGAGTTTAAGCACATTTGGTTAAGTATAAGAAAAGTTAACAACCACATTTCTACGCAAGGTTGGTTTTGGATTACATTAAATAACCATTTCAAATTTCACCTCCTAGTGAACTTTGACTAAAGCCACTTTCTGTATGTGTTAGTCACCCTCTGGGAACCCTCTAAATATATCAACTAGCCCTTACATTCTTTCTGCTCTACTGGATCTCACAAAAGGTACTGAGCATTTGTTCCTTTATGTTAACGTTCTTAAAACATTTTGTTCATGCAGTGTAATTCTCAAACACTTGGTTGTTGAAAGCAATGGAAGAAACACTGAACTGCATGCACAACCTCTGACTGCATTTTTTTTCAAATAAAGGAGTACTATAATGAATAAAGCAAGTAAAATAATTATATTTAGCAGCACCATTCTTCCAATAAAAGTATGTGCTGGATCTGAAAGTTGTAAAATTGGGGCTTATATAATTTCTGGTGAAACAGGTAAATGAACGGCATCGTTTTTGAATGAACTTGTTAAATAAAAGCAATGGCTGACAGGCCAGTTATGTAATGCCTACCCAAATATTAGAAACTTGCACAGCATCTGAAACAGATGACAAATTGTAACCCCAAGATTCAACAAACCAGTAGCTTGCCCATGTGCTCATCCGCACTCAAAAAAAAATTACAGCTATCCTTATACACCACTTACAGTATACATTTCTTCAGCACTAGAGCCTGAAACCAAATTCTCATGCAGAGTTGGTCATCAACAGTACTTATCAGTTTTGCTGATCTTAAATATCTTAATATTCCCTAAATGTCCAAATCTATAACCCCTTACCATTGACTCATATTCCAATGTTTGGATAATAGATTTCAGCTTTGAAGATTACTTAAGACCTCCACATCTTCTGAAATGTCCTTAATAAATGGTACATTGTACACCAATGCATACAATATTTGTCGTGCACTCATTGCTAACAAGCATTCACATCTTGATGTCATCTAACCAATATCTCCCTTCAGTAACTGGGTAAAGCACTTCTATACAAAGCTAGGGATTCAGTATTACGTGGATCATTTATTATTTTTGGACTTTGGGAGTTACTCATTCATATAATAGTCCCCAAAACAATTAGGTACAGATGAATTGCCACTAAAACACTCCAGGGCAGGGAGATGTCAGGTTAACCATTTTGTGAAATACCTCTTGTGAGGAGGAATAATTTGAAATCTTGCATTTTATTTCATTCTACTGCCAATGATTGATATAGTACATAGGGTCAATGTAAATATGTTTTCAAAAAGAAAGCTACAAAAATCAAAATTTCTTTACTGGATCAAGATAACCTTTGTCCAATGTTATATTAAAAGTTTTCAGCACATCACAATAAATAGTCAGGCCTTCTGAAACCCAAAAACATCCCAGGACCATGAACAAATCTGTTCAACTATTAAAATACTCTCACCACCATCTCAAAACAAAAACACTTAAAATGGATCAATGCATTCCTCCTATAACCAAACTACAATGGTTTTATAAAAGTGTATTTAAGCTTGAAACTATTATATTTAATCCATTAAAACTTAAAAATTAAATAGATCCATGCTGAAGGTCATGTTATGGCACTCAATATGTTCTGATATTTTAAAAGAATGAACACATCATTAACCAAGCTAGAAGATGAAAATGCAACGCCGAAAGAAATCCTTGCAAAGTATTCACTGCATATTATTGAAGGAGCCAAGTCTAACTTCCTTATTTACAGAAGGTCATACATCTCCAATGCTGCTTCTTTTTTTTAAAAAAAAAGTTAGCTATTTCTAAGCAGAATATTTGCACGAATGCCATGGAGAGAAATACTAATTTTGTCTCAATGTCCCAAATAAGATGCCACTATCCACTTCCTTTGTTTAAAAACTCAAAGGTTTGCATGGTCTCATCAAATAAATAGAAATACCAGTACAATCCTGTTGAACCTGGAGATATCCACTCAAGGGCACATAAGTCAGACATAAATGCTATTAGCGTATTAACACAACTGTTTTAAGTATTGGCAGTTTATTGCCCATCATACAAAATGAACCAACATGGCAGTTGTGCCAATGATTAAAACTCTCAGAACATATGTACATAGTATACTTGCAAAAACATTATTTCAAACAAAAACAAATTTGTATCAACTACATTGTACAGAATAAAGTTGGTCTTGAATTACAATGGTAAGTTGAACAGTTGGATACCAAAGGCACTTCCTACAAACAGGAAATATCATCTGCAGGCTACCGGAATTTGAAGACGTGTTTATCCTAGCCATAGCATAATTCAATTTTTTAAAAAGAAAAATATTCAAAAGCAAAACAATTTATTCACTGTACAATTAGAGATTTAAGTAATATTTCAGTCATTGTCAGTGGTATTGCCTTGCAATAATCCTTCCACATTACTTTTGTTCTCTCTTTCTGTACTGAGACTTCGACGGCTTGGTTTACTCGAATGGTCCTTACCATCACTGTGACTTTGTTTGTGAGATCGTTCTTTACTTTCACTGCGTTTGTGAGCTTTCTCTTTGCTATGACTACGCTGTTTCTTTATCCGTTCACCATTATTCTCATCAGTCCTTTCTCTGCTAATGCTTCTTTTGTTTGATTTTTCTTTATGTTCATTTCGATGTTTAGATTTCTCTTTGCTTTTGCTTCTACTACGTTTGCTGACATGACCCCTACCAGGACTACTGCTTCTATGTCTTTTCTCTCTGCTCCTGCTTCTACTATGCCTTTTATCTTTTTTTGAATCCTTTTTATCATCTTTATGCCTCTTTTCATCTTTTTCTCTTTTTTCTTCCTTACGTTTTCTGTCTTCAGTCTTTGATTGGCTTCTTTTATCCCGGTCTCTAGATCTCTCAGATTCTTTCTCAACATTTCTGTCCCTGTCTCGATCACTCACTCTTTCTTTGTCCTTTTCATAATCTTTATCTCGCCTTCTATTTCTTTCATTTTCCTTCTCCCTCTCTTTATCTCTATCTTTTTTATCACTTCTTTTATCTCTACTTCGACTTCTGTGATGGTCTCTGCTTCTGCTCCGCTTACGGTCTAAACCTCTGTCTGTGCTTCTAGATTTATGTCTATCTTTCTCACTTCGTTCTCTATCTTTTATCTGTTCTCGTTCCCTTTTCTGTCGTTCTCTCTCCCTCTCTAATTCCTTATCAAAACCAAAAGAGCCATGGCCTTCTCTATGACGGCTTCTGCTTCTAGATCGCCTAGGAGATTTGCGAGGAGTAAGAGATCTTCTTGGTGATCTGAAAAAGAAAGAAATAAATTGCCATAAAATTCTTTATGTTTTGAGAAGTAGTATATTTAACATGCTGTGATATTTAAATAATTCAAATACATTACCTCGAATGTCTACGCTCTGATAGGCGCTCTGGTTCTTCCATACTATCCTTCCCATCCTTTTTGGCAATTTTCCTTGGTCGAGTTTTAAGATACTGGTCCAAATTCTTTTGAACAGGAACTGGAATTCTTGGGAATAGGGTAGAAAACCATTCTAGTTTAGTAAGGAAAGAACGAATCATCTCTCCTATTGTCATGACGCATCCTCCACCAGCCTTTACATCTAGTTCCTGAAAAACATAAATTAACATACTATTGGTAAAACAGATTTTTCATCTTTAACATTCGTGTTAGCATGTGAAACAATTGCAAAACCCCAGCTTTTTGATTAAAGAGAATGTACTACCTTTGATGTAAACTACTCATTTTCACATGCAGTTCTACCTGCAAAACTTTCAAACCTATCTCAAAATTAAAGTTGAGGCCTGTAATAAAATGGTTAAAAAATTAGACTGTTCTTATTGAAACATTTTTGCATGTACACGTAAAATGTTAGGTACCATTTCTCCTAGGACTGACAAAGCAACCCCCTTAATATTTGATCTAAAGCTGAATTTTAATAATCCTATTTGGAATAACCTCCCACAACCAATCCTGGTAGGATTTTACATAAAATAGTGTACCAGCAATGCAAATTGATTAACATTTACGTAGATATAAGGATAACAGCTAAATTTGAAATCTATGGGCAAGCTGTTCAATTTTTATCTTGTATGTTGTGATCCTCACTGTTCTTAACATTAAAACAACTTTTTGAAGCAATAGCAAACCAACTGCCGTGAAGCAGTGAGGTATTATCAATTAACATTCAATATAATATATTTTGAAACTGTATCGTCCACAATGACCATCATCTTTGGAAAAGGGTCATTACCGCATGATTGCCTCCTTGTCATGCCCTCTCACAGCTCAGGACATGTTAGTCAGCTATTGTCAGTTTCCACCTACAGTGCAAGCACACAGGAAAATCAGATTTTATTAGGCTAGCAAAACAAAAAAGACAGTCTAAACATAAAATAAGCGCTTGCACTCACACACATTAATCAATAGTGTTGCTCAGCTACATTTCCAAATTCACCTGCTGCCCAATGAAGATCTAAAGAAGAAAACAGGGCAGTTAGCTTATATGCTAGCAGTCTCAAAGCTTCATTCAACTCAGGCTCAAATTTAAATTTCTGACGGTGGCAGATGTAATCACAGGCAGAATGGTAGCTTCATGTCTTAACAGTGTATTTCAGTACACTATTTAAAGCGCGTCCAGTACCACCAACGCACTGCAGATAGGTGAAATTGAGGGAAAAATGTACTTCTTAAACGCATCCTACAGAAACTAATGTAGTTTTTAATGCAATACAAATATTTTTGTTGTTATGAATAGACAGTTTAAACCGTCTACGTTGTGCAGGAGCCGGTATTGGACTGGAATGGACAGAGTCAGAAGTCAAACGACACCAGGTTACAGTCCAACAGGTTTATTTGAAATCACAAGCTTTCGGAGCATTGTTCTTCCACCTGATGAAGGAGCAGTGCTCGAAAGCTTGTGATTTCAAATAAATCTGGAGGACTGTAACCAGGTGTTGAGAGACTTTGGACTCTAAAAAGTCTACGACAGAGATGGAATAATTACATAAATATTAAAGCTCAACAGTCTCTGCTATATCATCTTTCTTCCCTTTTCCCAAAATAGTTTAATGCAACCATAAATTAACTAGATTTTAGTATGGATGTTTCAGGGCATTTTAAAAGTTTCCTAATATAGCTTTGACTAAAATTATTACAAAAAGGTACCAATCAAGACTTTAAAATAGGAGCAAAGAACAGCTAACACCAGCAGGTAGTTTTGAATGTTACACATAGGAAATATTTAAGTTCAGATTTAAAGTAATTATTTGCTACACATTAAATATAAAATGGAATCAAATCAATTCCAAGAAAGATCAACTTTTTTGCTGATATTTCATGGAAAAAGACAGTGACTGCACCAGACAAAGATGATCTATATAGTGTTCATAATAGTGTCTATGATAGTTTTTTGATGCATGTTATATATTACATAATATGCAATTGCTAGGGATGGGAAGTGAGCTGAATAAATGATTGTTGCATACAGGCACCAGTGACCTCTGGTAATCACTGTTCTTTTTCCAGGAGTTAAAACAAAATTGTACAATCTTCCTTTTAAAAAAAAATGCAGTTATGAGCAATATCATTTGCTGACATACCTCATGAAATCAGAATTACCACTACTTGTTGACATAATGGTAATCTGGATTCATTTTTTTTAACCAATAAAGATTACAAATTAATAAAAGCAAAATGTTGTGGATGCTAGAAATATGAAATTAAAGCATTAGTGACGGAAACCCTCAGCAGATCCGGCAGCATTTGTGGAAAGAAAAACAACCTTACTGAGTCTAATAGGACTTCAGTTCCAAAAAAGAATGACTTTCACCTTGAAATAAGTAACCTTCTCTCTCTGCAGATGCTGCCAGTTCTGAGTTTTTCCAGCACTGTTTTCATCCAATTAATAAATGTGCTTACATAAAATGCGAAGGTAGTACAAATTAAGGCTTGTACTTTAATATAAAAAGCAATTCTCTATAAAAAGTACAAAATTTAAATTCACCAAGTTTGAGACTTATTCTGTCAGAAGACTATCTGGTAAAAGTTCAAACAACGATGTGTTCAGTTTCCGGACCCAACTGTGAGTCTGGTTTAAAATCAGACTTTAAGCAGAAAGAGGTTAATAATCTCGTAGCAGCAGATGTTAAAGGCAGAACTTGAAAAGATCTAAGTTACACTCATTTCTTTTCACCACCTTTAGTAATAAACTAGCTAAATGCATAATTGTTTATATAGGATAAACAGCACAGAAACAAAATTTGGCCTATGCAGTCTATGCCAACTTTTACATTTCATCTTTACTCATCTAAATCTATCAAGGTAACCCTTTGCCTTCAGATGCATTCTATCAAGACCTTTCAGAATTGTAATGGCCACTAACTGGTTATTATTTGTTCTTCAAAAGAGACAACAGATCCCGCCAGTCCTTTCCCCGATGGGTGCACACAAACATTTCTGGCATTCTAGCAAGTTTTCCCTGTAGTGCCCCTAAATCCTTTTATTTGGTGGCCAGAACAGCACACCATACTGTGTGCCTAACAAAGGTTTGACAGACAGTTAGAATAATATTCACTGTGCTGGAATTCTGACTGCATTCAGAAACCAATAAAAAAAAAGTGTAAGTGATATTATGGTGTTTATAGGATATGGGTCTTGGATGAAACACAGATCACAAGAGAATCTTGATACTGTGGGTGATGTGCCCATTCCTGATGTCTGTTAACTTTGACAACTGCAACATACTCATGCTTTCCTATGCACTATACGCAGAAGGCCTGAGCCAGATTATATCCAGAATACTGTCAAGCTTTTGTCTGCAGACACAGTAGGGTCATGGAAATCCTAGAACAACTTCAGGAAGGCTTCTGAACCGACAAACCCACAGTCATTAAATTGGCTATGACAGATATGCAGAGCTGGTGCTGTTTAAAATGGAAAAGCATATACTTTAAGACATGATCAATGGCGTTAAAAAGAAGGATGAACTCCCTAAAGTAGGTAAGTCAGGGAGGATTAGGGGACATTTAAATTTAAGATACAAGAGCACACAATCAGCTTAACAAAAATAAACTTCAGTAGATTAAAGAAAGCACTTGTGCGTCTTTCACAATCTCAGGACATCTCAATGTGTTTTATTGCTAATGAGGCACTTTTTAAAGTATAGTCACTATTGTAAAATAGGGAAATTGTGGGACCTAAACTGTAAAATGCAAAGCCTTGACGACAGTATTGAGATACAAGAGCTGAAATCAGTTTTAGTGACTTTGGCCAGGGCACTGGGAAGAACATCCCTGATCATCATCTTATAGGAACACCTGCAAGAGATAGACAGAATTTTGATTTAATGCTTAATTCTAAAGGCAGGACCTCCAAAGGCAGCTAGTACGTGAATATCAATTTGCTGTACATATTCAAAGCAATTAGTTAAGATCCTAAGAACAGTTAACATCTCAACATAAAAACTGTGGCTGCTTTACTAGTTACGATGATGGCTTACAAGTAGCTTGAGATTAAGAATTTTCCAGTTTCACCCTGAATTGGTCAAAGGTTGTGAAAAATTGCCACTTTTAACTCCTTCCATCCAGTATAGTCTGCAAGTTATACGGTGCCAGGACAACTGTCTGTCCCTTTTTTCTGTATGTTAAGTATCTCTGTACCCAAAAAGCAACACACCTTGGAGGTAACTATACCCAGGAAGACACAGCACAACATTCATTTTGTAATGCAACTTGTTATAATAACAGCACCCAAAGACTCCCTTCACTTTCTAAACAGATAACTGGAAAGTTCTACCAAGAACCTAAGGGGTTTGTTGTCTCAACTGACTGCACGATTGCTTTTGCCTGGTTTGCAATGCAGAGTGATGCGAATAGCATGGATTCAATTCCTGTAGCAGCTGAGGTTACCACGAAGGACTCTCCGTCTCAATCTGTCCCCTCACCTGAGGCATGGTGACCCTCAGGTTAAACCAATACCAGTCATCTCTTTCTAATGAGCGCGCAGCCCTGTGGTCCTCTGGGACTAAGGCAGCCTTATCTTTTACTGAGAACCTAAAATTCCTATTCTACAATAAATCCAACTGGACTTGGGCAGAGGAGTCTTTTACAAGCATCAACTGAAGTCAGCCCTGTATTCCCATGATTTCAAGTCTACAGGATTCCAGAACAGTGGCTCGGGAGGTCCACTAATTGATTCCTAATGGGATCAGCCAATTCATCGTCACACCATCCAAGACAATATGAAGACAAGAAAACTTATTGAAAATGTTGCTCCTCACAGGTGAATACAAACAATTACACCTACAAATTGGAATGATTCAATATATAGGAGATAGATTCATTTTAGAAGATAAATCTGCATTCGAATTTTCAGTCTAGTAAGCCCAAACAATGAATGAAAAACACAATCCTTGTCAACATACCTCTTCATCATCTAAAAAAGGCTCATACCAATCCCACAAATCAGCTGGGGGCTGTGTGTACCTTCAAAATAAAAAATATTCAAAACATTACAAAATAGACAGACAGTACAAATAATTATCACTGATGGGCATATTAAATCTCTGGTACATTGCAATTTGATTTCTGCAGCTACACTGACCACTTGACATAGCTCTCCAATTTGTAGTCTCTAGAGCCATGCTGTGTCAAATGTCAGACTCAAGCAGAATCGGCAAATCACATACGCACAAGATGGCAAATTAAAAATATCCACTTTTACCCAAGTAAGGCAACAGATGTTTTTACAGGAGCTCAGGCTTTAACTACACTTTTCCAAAATAAAGCACCCTTAAGAACTTCACATTTCTTCTGCACACTGAATTAAAGCATATATATAAAATGAAGATCCTAACTAACAAATTCATTACTTTCGGGCTATAACATCTGGATCCCATTTTCTGGTGCACTCCCTCACAACAGTAAATCGTTCCTACTTTCAAGTAGTTCAAGCAGCAACTTGAATAGAGCACCAGTATGTTGTTTAAAGTACAGCTGCTAACTATCACTGTAATATATTTAGAAGTATACTGACTAATGGCTCAAAACAAATACCTGTTTAAAATTCTTAAGTATATTAATATGCACTGCATTCTACACTTCACGAGTTGCTTACAACTTGGTAGGGAGCATTAGCATTTTGAGGCTTGATTCTCTGTTCAATGGCCCCTTCCACTGTCACCTGTCTCAAATGGCTCAGATGCCTTTATTCAACTGTGGATCGGTTAAAGCTAGCTTTATTAGTTGACATAAAATAACGAGGGTCTAAGTAGGGTATACAATAACTATGTTTTAGTAATTGCTCATAACAAAAAGCAGACCTACCGAATATACATGAATCCTAAACCTCGGATGTACGGAGAGTCAGTGTGTGTTATTAGACCCATCACTTGTTTACGAGTTAACTTCAGGGTAAACAGCTTGTACAGTAGACAAAAGGCAGTGGAAACAATGCCTCCTGTTCCAACACCCCGTACCTGAAATAAGAATCAGAACAGAATTTTGTACGAGTTTACATGTTATGTTATTACAGTTAATTGTTTTCCCTTCAGAGACAGTACTTGGATTGGAGGCAAGGTGGGAAAGATTAACTGATGATCTACAAAAATGGAGGGTAGCTATCTGTCCTTAAAAATCCCAAAAAAATTCATAGGTTTCTGGTCAGTGATAACTTTAAGTGGACCAGTCACAAATGCTGGCTACAAGAGATTGGATATTCTACAATTCGTGTGACCTGACTCCAGATTCCCCAAAGCCTTTGTACCACCTATAAACAAATCAGAAAAGTACAGAATACACTGCACTTGCCAGATGAGTGCAGATCCACAACATTCATGAAGTTGAACACATCCAACACAAATCAGGCCACTTGAACGGTACCCAATACACTTTAAATACCAGTTCTGACCAGAAACGTTAACTCGGTTTTCTCCTTCACAGTTGCTGCCAGACCTGCTGAGCTTTTCCAGCAACTTTGTTTTTGTTCCTGATTTATAGCATCCACAGTTCTTTTGGTTTTCACTTTAAATACTAATTTGGTCCAGAACTGACACACGATGGCAGTGTATGCACCTACAAGATGCCTGACCAAGGCTTCTTTAACAGCATTACCCAATTAAATTGGAAACCATTTCAAGATTTTCAGTCAAGCTCACAGTGTGATGCATTTGTACATGCTAGAAGCCCCATATTAACAGACAGGGCTCCATCTACATAGTCAAAAGGAACTCATACATACACTGCATTCTCTCATTGGGGAAAATTATAAACAGCATCATGGAAACTGCCAATCTACCACATTCCAATGGCAACACCCTGACTGATCAGCGTCTACCCGCCTAATTAACTGCTCCTGCTGTACCTCCATGCAAACAATGGCCCAAACAATCACCTTCTTCTCATACTGTAAAAATTGGCATTCTTTTCCAAGTCTTTTGTCCAACAAGATTTCTAGTCCTGATAAGCGCACAGCAAAAAACTTCAAGTTCATTTCCTAAGCCCATCACCCAGATAGAAATTGTCAGTAGGCAAATGGGAACACCAAGGTCACACATCAGCCAGTCATGAAAAAAATATAGCAATCACCACCTCATCATAGTTTGATCAAAGTTTAGGAATGCCCTGTTCTACATCTAGTGGGAGCCCTTGCACCATACAGAACCATTGAAGTGGTTCAAGATGCAGTTCACCGTCACTTCTTTTCAAAAGGCAAAGCGTAATGGGCAATAAATGCCGTCCTTGCCAATAGGCACACACTAATGTATGAAATAAAATTCTCCTATCCTGTAAACCACCTGACAAAATATCAAAAACCTAACCATGAACTATTTTTCCCTACACAGATACTGCCCAACTTGCTTAATGCAATTTCACTATTTCTTTAATTCACTTCAGCTCACTTTATTTCGCTACAATTCAAGGCACCCACTCCCTCCCAAGGAGTTGCGACCATGGAAGCTAGCACGAGTGTTTCCACTGCTCGTCTTATGTAGCTTGGCTTCTCCTACTTTTTAAAAATCCTCTCTGCACACTATTTAAGTCATGCCTAAATGTATAAGAAATCATGGTGGGTCTCGCTTCAAAGTAACTTTGGGAAAGAAAGTGGTTGTAAGTAGTTGAATTTCTTTTTAAACTGGTTCTAGTGGATTGAAATTGCTTTCCTTGAATAGGATATGATTAAATTTGATTCAAAATATCTATTGTCCTTCAATGACTTCCTGGGTTATTTCTCTTATACATATATTCTTTGTTTCACTTCCCTCTCCTTGCTAATCCCCCCAATGAGTTACTTACACATTGGTTCATCCCAATTCAATCATGTAAGTATGCTGCAAACTAGCAGTTTACCATACATAACAATGACCTACACAAAAAAAAGGACTGAATACTGTTGAAGTTGTCACTAACTTATGCAGAGGTTGACAAATAAAATAAATGCTTAAGTGATTGTGTCTTGTGGCTCCATAATCTGACATGCTGACAGTACATTTTGCAGAGACAAGTTGTTCTGGAGAGCAACTACATGAATTCTGGGGGTATGATAATATCATAAAGCATTTTTAATGACTTGAACAGATGAAAGGAACTTTGACAGTTTTACAAGTGCGTAGGAATTCAATTACAAGTTGTCAATCCATAATGCAGCAAAAAATTTAAATATTCATAACTTTACAAACTGCATATAAAGAAATTTTTAAATTTAGTAGTTTAATTTAAAGAAGCAAATTAGACATTCGGAGTCAATTAGAGGTGCTGGGGAAAGAAAAGCTTTTCAGAATGCATCATTTTGAAATAGATCAGATGGAAGAGACAAAATTAGGAAGCATCTAAACTAATTGGAACAACTTTATTAACTGTGCAATTTCTGTTAAACAAGGAGCCAGAATACAACTACTGACAAGATTAAGATTTAATTAAGGTCAAATTAAAAGAAAAAAAAAATCACCATTTCAACCAGGTGAAGCGGGATGAATTCACTCCTAACTATTTAATCCCCTTGATGGGCCACAAAAATTTTATTTGCTTTAACATACAACTCTCTCTCACTTCAATTAAAATACAGTTCACTAGTTCACCAAAATCAAAACTAAGGAGGCAACTGCAAGATTTTCAAGTGAAGGAGCAATTTACAAACCCTGAGAAAATAAGTATCATCAAAATAAAACTATGAAAGATTTTAAAAAGGTGTTAATGTCTAGTACATAATGATAAAAGAATACGCAATTTAAAAGTCCCCTGTCCTTGAGGTGTTAGGTGAAACATGGGATAATAGTTGTCCAATTGCCATCTTGCATCCTCAGCACGAGGAAATATTGCAGCTATCCGAGTTTTTGAGAAACATCCATTTGCCAACGCGAACCTAATGCCAGCAGAACCTACAAGAGCAGCTGGAGACTATCTGGCCCATCAAGAATGCTCGGCAATTCAAACCAATTGCGGCCAATCTGATTGTGGCTTCAGCCAACTTTCCTGACTAGTTCCTGTATCCTTTGACTCAAATTGTTAATTAAAAATCTATTTAACTTTTAGAATCTGTACACGTGTTTAAAAAATTCACCAACTCTACAATCAAAAATACCTCCAGGCAAAGATTCCACAAACTCTCAATCATCAAATAAATTCTCGTCGCCTTCTTATATGGAAGATTCCTTATTTTTGAACGGTGTCCTCTAGGTCTAAGTATCTACACAGGGAAACAGCCTTGCAACAATTCATCAATATACAGTAAACAGCACAGTCAAACTAAAAACTACGTGCAAGAAAGGAATACAGCAGTTTATGCATCATCAGATAGTACTGCAAACATTGGAAATACAAATAAAAAAAGGAGAACAAACATTGGCCATTTGATTCTATGTTGATTTTTAATGACCTATGTTGATTTTACAGATAATTGATTCATAAAGATGTACTTGGAGCAAATTACAATGACCACAGAAGATGCATTAACAGAAATACCGAAGGGTACTTGAGCACTATTCCTAGACAGCGGCAGGACAGATCAACAAGGTAGATTTTAAAGTGGAGACAACAAGGTGCAGGGCTGGATGAACACAGCAGGCCAAGCAGCATCATAGGAGCAGAAAGGCTGACGTTTCGGGCCTAGACCCTTCATCAGAAAAGGGCGAGGGGAAGGGGGTTCTGAAATAAATAGGGAGAGAGTGGGAGGCGGATAGAAGATGGATAGAGGAGAGGATAGGTGGAGAGGAAACAAACAGGTCAAAGAGGCGGGGATGGAGCCAGTAAAGGTGAGTGTAGGTGGGGAGTTAGGGAGGGGATAGGTCAGTCCAGGGAGGACGGACAGGTCAAGGGGGCGGGATGAGGTTAGTCGGTAGGAGATGGGGGTGCGGCTTGAGGTGGGAGGAGGGGATAGGTGGGAGGAAGAACAGGTTAGGGAGGCGGGGACGAGTTGGACTGGTTTTGGGATGCGGTAGGGGGAGGGGAGATTTTGAAGCTTGTGAAATCCACATTGATACCATTGGGCTGCCGGGTTCCCAAACGGAATACGAGTTGCTGTTCCTGCAACCTTCGGGTGGCATCGTTGTGGCACTGTAGGAGGCCCAGGATGGACATGTCATCTGAGGAATGGGAAGGGGAGTTGAAATGGTTCGCGACTGGGAGGTGCAGTTGTTTATTGCGAACCGAGCGTAGGTGTCCTGCAAAGTGGTCCCCGAGCCTCCGCTTGGTTTCCCCGATGTAGAGGAAGCCACACCGGGTACAGCGGATGCAGTACACCACATTGGCAGATGTGCAGGTGAACATCTGCTTGATGTGGAAAGTCTTCTTGGGGCCTGGGATGGGGGTGAGGGAGGAGGTATGGGGGCAGGTGTGGCACTTCCTGCGGTTGCAGGGAAAAGTGCCGGGTGTGGTGGGGCTGGAGGGGAGTGTGGAGCGGACAGGGGAGTCACGGAGAGAGTGGTCCCTCCGGAAAGCAGATAAGGGTGGGGAGGGAAAGATGTCTTTGGTGGTGGGGTCGGATTGCAGATGGCGGAAGCGTCGGAGGATGATGCGTTGGATCCGGAGGTCGGTGGGGTGGTATGTGAGGACGAGGCATCTGCCAATGTGGTATACTGCATCCGCTGTGGCTTCCTCTACATCGGGGAAACCAAGCGAAGGCTCGGGGACCGCTTTGCAGAACACCTACGCTCGGTTCGCAATAAACAACTGCACCTCCCAGTCGCGAACCATTTCAACTCCCCCTCCCATTCCTCAGACGACATGTCCATCCTGGGCCTCCTACAGTGCCACAACGATGCCACCCGAAGGTTGCAGGAACAGCAACTCATATTCCGCTTGGGAACCCGGCAGCCCAATGATATCAATGTGGATTTCACAAGCTTCAAAATCTCCCCTCCCCCTACCACATCCCAAAACCAGTCCAGCTCGTCCCCGCCTCCCTAACCTGTTCTTCCTCCCACCTCAAGCCGCACCCCCATCTCCTACCGACTAACCTCATCCCGCCCCCTTGACCTGTCCGTCCTCCCTGGACTGACCTATCCCCTCCCTAACTCCCCACCTACACTCACCTTTACTGGCTCCATCCCCGCCTCTTCCACCTGTTCGTTTCCTCTCCTCTATCCATCTTCTATCTGCCTCCCACTCTCTCCCTATTTATTTCAGAACCCCCTTCCCCTCCCCCTTTTCTGAAGAAGGGTCTAGGCCCGAAATGTCAGCCTTTCTGCTCCTATGATGCTGCTTGGCCTGCCGTGTTCATCCAGCCCTGCACCTTGTTGTCTCGGATTCTCCAGCATCTGCAGATCCTACTATCTCTGATTCAGATTTTAAAGCAAGTGGTTTTATAAGTAGAGTCACAGTACAATAGCCACAATCCAGCTGGAGTATGATGTTTAAATTCTGGGTACCTCACTTTAAGCAGCACATGAATAACGTGTACAGTACCACTGGTTTACTGCAATAGTTCCTGTGAGGGGGGATTAGCATTACATGTACCGGAGAATCTAGACTGATTCTCCCTAGACCAAAGAATGCTCCAGAGAAATTTGATAGAGGTTTTTAAAATCATGAGAGATTTGGATAAGCATTTAAACAAATTGCTTTCCACAGCTGAAGATCAATAACTCCAGGGCATGGATTTATGATTGGTAAAGAGGGACCAAAAGAAGGAAAGCACCCCTCCTGACAGAGGGTTTTGGCCCGAGGTGTCGACTTTCCTGCTTCTTGGATGCTGTCTGATCTGCTGTGCTTTTCCAGTTTCACATCTATTGACTTTGCATTTATGTAATACCATCTTTCAAAAGAGAACGCTCCCAAGGAGGGCACTTACAAGTTCTAAAAGTTAGATTGTGAAGAAACTAACATAACAGGTAATTACAGTTATAGTCAGATTGCTTTAGGAATTACAAAGAAATCTCCCAGGGAAATATTAATGGTGAAAGGAATTTAAAAAAAAAAAATCCCCCAATTCACTTAAATATCTACACAGTATGAGTGATTTTGTTTCGAGATGTTGTAAAGCTGTTAGAGTCCTCAACTATACTTCAAGGTTTTAAGATTCCCCTCACTTTTGTTTCCTTTTCTTCCTCTCCATCCAAGAATATATGAAACTAGTTTAAAATTTAATGTTATGCCGTCATGATGATTACAGGTGCAACTGCACATGTGCATGACACCAGTTTAACAAAGCATGCAGATGGATCACAGTTCTAACTTGTGTGTTAGGAACATTTACACTGAAAACATAGAAGTAATGATCAAATCAGATGGGTCAGAATAATATCTGTTCCAGACAAGTGTCACAACCATCAGAAAACGTGTTAGGCAAAATTGCAAATGAAGTGCAAGACAATGAGTGGTGGAAGAGGAATTTTGAGGTTCACTCACAATAACTCTGCTCCCGGAATCAAAACTCAAACTGCAGCATCCATAATTTCAAGAATTTTCATCTGATTCACATTACGCTGACTATGAACTAGCAAAGAACTGTGGAATTTTACAAAATGTAAATGGGAAGTATTGAAGGCATGAGGCATAAATTTTTATGATAGAGTTGGTAGGAAATAAATTGTGCCTCAACTGCAGTCACTCAAAGCATCAGCACCACATGATTAAAATAGGGACAAAAACAAAGTTGCTGGAAAAGCTCAGCAGGTCTGGCAGCATCGGTGAAGGAGAAAACACAGAGTTAACGTTTCGGGTCCGGTGACCCTTCCTCAGAACTAATGGTGGCTGGGAAAAAGTCGTTTATATGCAGAAAAAAGGGAGGTGGGTGGGGTAGGGAGTAAACGATAGGATAGAGCCCAAAGAGATAGAAAGACAGTTGGACAGACAAAGGAGTTGCTAATGATCAGGCTGGGAGGGTGAATAGTGATTAACAACAGGGGGTGTGTAATGGCAGGCTATGTGGTAACAAGGCCTGGTGTGTGGGGTGGGGGGCTAGGACATGGGAGAGTTTAGGCTCTAAAATCATTGAACTCAATATTGATTAAATAGGGAGTTTGCGTAAATCAATACACAACCAAATCAGTAGACAGATCAGCACACAGAGACAAAAGCAAAATGCTTCAGGGATACTGGAAATCTGAAATGAAATCAAGAAATACTCAGCAATTTAGGCAGAATCTGCAGAGGATGAGAAATAGAGTGAACATTTCAGAACAATTATCTTTCGTCTTTCAATTTTAATGGAAGGTCTTTGACAACTTACAATATATGCTCATGACTCAGATGATGGATATAAATGCAATCTGCCGAGTTTGTGGAGGGTACAAAAATAGATGGGAAGGCAAGCAAGGAGGATGACACAAGGAGTCTACAGAGGGATAGAGCTATGTTAACTAAGTGGGGAAAAGCTGGCAGATGGAAAACAAATGTGGGAAAACGTCAAGAAGAATAGATGAGCTCCATATTATTTAAATGAGAAAAGACTACAGAAAGCTTCAGCACAGAGATATTTGCAGAGTCCTTGCTCATGAATCACAAAAAGCCAGCATACAAGCTCAGCAAGTAATAGGGAAGTGAGATGGAATACTGGCCTTTATTTCAAATGGAATGGAATATGAAAAATAGGGAAAACTTACTAAGACTTTACAAGGCACTAGTCGGACCACAACTGGAATAGTGTGAACAAATTGCTCTCCAATGCCAGTGTCAGAGATGGTTCACTGGGTTGACCATGAGAATGGAAGGATTTTAAGAGGAGAGATGGAGTAGATTGGGCTTCTATTTGTTGGAGTTTAGAAGAATGAAAGACATCTTTATTGAAAGATACAAGATTCTTAGCAGTTCAACACGGAAGGTAGAGAGGCTGTTTCCCCTTGTGGGAGTAGCTAGGGCCAGAGGACATAATCTCAGTCAAACACAGTCACCTATTTAAGACCGAGTGGAGGAGAATTTTCTTCTTTTAATGTCTGTGAAATGCTTTATTGCAGAGGGCTGTTAAGGCTGAGTGTTAAGTATTTTTAAGGCTGAGGCAGACAGATTTCCAGTCATTCTGGGAATCAAGGAGTATGGGAGGAGGCAGAAAAGTGGAGTTGAAACTTCTTAGGTCAGCCAAGATCTCGCTGAAAGGCGGAGTGGACTTGATGGACCAAATGGCCTAGCTCTGCTCCTGTCTTCTGATCTGAAATGTCAACACTGCTTTTCTCCCCATGATAATGCCTCATTGCCTGAATATTACCAAACAGACAAATGTTTATAGTTTTAATAAGATTTTTGAAAAATAAAGCACGTACTTCTACTTACCCCTCCGCACATGCCTGTCTGGCCTGCAGTCTTCCTGCTCCCCTTCTCCCATGGTTCAATATGAGTGACCTGTAATTTAAAAAACAAAACATTAGAAAAAGATTTCGCAAATAGCATCAATAAGATAAAGAGCTTTTTACATTTAAAATGAAGTTATAATTTGGATGTTCTTCAGTTGTCTGCAAGCAATATTGGTTTGTCTTCATTAGCTAGTAGAATGAGGCATACTGGAATCTGTCTCAGGACAAGTTGCACTGGCTAAATACTATGAAATTTGCCACACACTAACGTCAATGTCAAATCCAGTTAAAACATTTAGTTTGAGACATGGTGAAAAACTTAATATCTAAACTCACAAACATAACCATTGCATATTATCTTTTTCTTCCAATCTGCATGACCCTTTGCAGTTCACTTAAAATGAATTTCTTAAAGCCCATGTTACAAAAAAGACCCAAATCTGACCCCAGCAACAAAAGCTGTTTTTCTAAATTTGTACAATTAAGATAAAATCTTATAAACTGTTTAAGTTTAA